TAAATATTTGTTTATTTTAACTATGTATTTAAATATTGGGGTTAAAAATTAAGCAGTAAAATAAAAATATTTAAATAAATTATTATTTTACTTATAATATTTAATAGTATATTACTTAATGTTTAAATATTTGCTTAATATTTTTCACTATCAGTCATTTCATTTCAAAGTTTTCATTTATTGACTAATTTAATGAAAATCAATTGAAAAATTGCTAGTTTTGCTTACATAAAGCAATTTTCAGAATTTTTCAACCATTTTTCAAGGTTTTTCACACAAACATCTTTCTAAATTTCTAAATCAAGAATAACTTGGGCTTGACAACTGAGATTGAATGATCTAAGACTTACTGACAGATTTCTTACTTATTCGTTTGAGTTTATTTAATTTAATACTTCAAGTTAAATCAAAATGATGTTGCCTTAGCTGAAACTAGCTGAAATACGTTTTTAAAAATATTTTCTTTTGGTTAACATTTATTTCAAGTAACACAATTTATTATTATTAATATTTTATTATTATTTATGGTTTGTTAAGATTGCAGGACAGTCACACAACCTTGACTTCAAGCTCAACAAAACAGAATCATAATTCAGAAAACATGCTCACCATATAATAGGTGCGTTACCTGTATAAACTGCATATAAAACTGAATAAATTACTGGATTGAAAACCCCATAAAACTGTGCTACCCAGCACACCGTTCAATCAGGATCGCCCCGCGCCGATGCGGCGGCCCCAAGGGGCCCCAGGTGCAGACAGGAGGAATCCAGACAGCTGAGTTTGCTCAGCAGACACTAAATAGGGCCCCCGGGTTCACAGGGCAGAGGCCTGAAGCAGCTATTTTTATATGCCAGCAGCTCCTGTTACAGATGTGCGGGACTCTGGCTGTGGAGGAGGACCCCTGCGTGATCTCTGGAGCCCCGAGCGCATGAGTTACCGCGCAGCAGCTACAGGCCAAAGTCACACATACGCAGCGCAAAAATGCAAACATGCACACCAATGTGAAATGTCTGTTTGGGAGTTTTGGGGTCAGGGCAATTTTATTTGATTTTTTTATTCAGCAAGGATGCATTCAATTGATCAAAAGTGAGATTAAATAAATTTCTAATACTACAAAAGAAATGCGGTTCTTTTGAACTTTCTATTCATCAAAAAATCCTGAAAAATGTGTCGTATAATCTCAGAATTCTGAGAAAATAGTCAGAATTGCGATATTATATTTTGGCACATCGCACAGATTAGAAACAAATAAAATAAAAAATTAATAAAAATAAAGCAGGATGGAAATAAAATAAAATAGTAATTGTTTCAAGTAAAATTTTCAAAATGTGCATTAAGAATGTATGTATAGGCTATATATATACAGTGGGTACGGAAAGTATACAGACCCCCTTAAATTTTTCACTCTTTGTTATATTGCAGCCATTTGCTAAAATCATTTAAGTTAATTTTTTTTCCTCATTAATGTACACACAGCACCCCATATTGACAGAAAAACACAGAATTGTTGACATTTTTGCAGATTTATATATATATATATATATTTTTTTTTTATTACATTATTTTATCCAAAGTAAAATGTCAAACAACAATAACAATATCCTGCTGTCCAAAAATTCATTTTTATTCAAATTTTGGGGTATTGCATAAAAATGCTGGATTAGAAAAATAAAATAAAATAAAAAATAAAGCAGTATGGACATAAAATAGTAATTATTTCCTTTTTTTTTTTGTAAAATTACACTATTTGATTTGATCTGAAGTAAAATATCAAACAATAACAATATCCTGTTGTGCATACACATTTTTATTCAAATTTTGGGGTATTGCATAAAAATGCTGGATTAAAATAAAATAAAATAAAAGCAGTATGGAAATAAAACAGTAATTGTTTCAAATAAAATATATTTTTTGTTTTAAAATTTCATTATTTGATTTTATTCAAAGTAAAATATCAAACAATAACAATATCCTGTTGTCTATACACACATTTTTATTCAAATTTTGGGGTATTTCACAAAAATGCTGGATTAGAAACAAACGAACAAAAATAAATAAATAAATAAATAAATAAAAATGTGCATTACTTTTTTTATTTGAAATTTTATGACATTTGTTAGCAAAAAAAAAAAAAAAGATGAAGTGCATAAACTAGGATAAAAACACATTTACCAAATCATTTACTAAATGCACATTAAACAGGTCTGGATAGCCTATTTAATCTCATTACTATTTTCGCGAGCGTTTTCTTTACTATGGCATCTTTAAAAAAAAATGCGTGCTTGTTCTGTCCAGAGCACTAGACGGTGTCTCCGGTGGTGGAGACATCACTAAACAGCAGCACGACTCCATAATGAGTCAGATCAGCTGCACAGGATTGTCACTCCAGAGCTCGACGCAAGACAATGAGCCTCTGGGAAGGGTTTCGTCGGGCCGCAGGCTTCAAAGAGCCGAGGAATGCGGAGCAATGATCAACCGATGAGGGCCGGATCAGGTTCACACCTACAATACGCTCCGATTTCCTCCCTGCTATCATCCCAGCAACTGTTTCCACCTTATTTGTTCATAATTTCCCCAAACGTTCACCGTATTTGTCATAACTGCGAGACAATGGCCAATGGAGGCTCCCGGCCAAAGCTGTTCCACCAGCGACTCGGCGTAACCTCAATTGAACCGCTTTTCGGCCAAACTAGTCTTGTTAACGCCAGAGCTTCCTTAGTTCCCTGTAACTGATACAATGTGAAAAAGCGATTTAGTGACAGGCCAGAAAAGACTTATGGTCCGTGTCTCTGGTCAGAGTCAGTCTGGTGTATTCATGACGGAGAGCAGCTGCATCCTGTTATTAAAGCGGAGCGCTAACCTTTGCCAGCAGCACCTGACAAGCCCACTCTCTGCCGCTTACAGTCTCGTGTACTGTACCCCACGCCACGCCAGAAGCCTTAAAGCCACAGAACCACACTTATTCACTCACCCGCATGTCCGTCAAACACTTCAGGAGAATTTCTTCTTTCTGCTCTTTCCTTGTAATGATGATTCATAGTGAACATGTTTGTCAAGTTCCTAAAAGAAACTGGGAAATAGTTAATGCAACTCTCTTTTTAATATACAATAGCTTTGTGTGAGATATAAGTTTGAAACTTTTTGAGTTTTTATTGGAAATCTTCATGCATTTGGTATGCATTAATGCATTTTGGAATCCACAGTCAAATATAAAACAATAATAATAATGGCCACGCGTCCATCCACTCATTTTTCATTAAATTTTGGGGTATTGCAAAAAATGATCTATCTATCTATCTATCTATCTATCTATCCATCTATCTATGTATCTATCTATCTATCTTTAAATAAAATAATTTATTATAAAAGAAGTAATCAGTAATAAGTAATCATTTAATCAAAAAATGATAAAAAAGTGCATTGAAATGTATTTCAATGTAAAATTACTTTTTATTTTATTTTATCCATAGTCACATTTTGAAACAACTATAACAATATCTTGTCCATCTGTTTAAATTGCATTTATTATTTACTTTTTTCCCCATTTTATTTAGATTGTAGATAAGATTTAATAAAAATGCTGGAAATTAAAAAAATTAAATTTTCTAAATGTGCATTAAAACATTTTTTGCATTAAAAAATGCTGGATTGGACAAACAAAATAATAAAATAAAAATTAACAAATAATGCAAGCCTTTTTTTTTCAAATAAAACTTAAAATGTGCATTAAAAATGTACTTCAAACTTTGATCATTTCTGGCAAAAAAATTAAGTGCATAAACTACGATTTAAGCGAATTAAGCAAATAATTTACTAAATGCACATCAAATAGGTCTTGACCTTGACTTAAATTCACAACTAGCTTTTTTTTGGTCCAAATATTTTTTAATGACAACACATGATTTAGTTCTTAAGATTTCTTATACTGTATGAGAGTGAGTGTGATTTAAAATGCAAGAAATCTCTAGCAGTGCACTTTTTCCAATTGTTCCGACGTCCGCGTAGAGGATCAAATTTCTTGTGGTTTAGCATCTGAACAGTGACCAACTATCGGCTATCTCGATCGACCATGTTGTGCGATTCAGAAAGCCTTTACTTGATTGAAATGACTCATTAGAGGCGTCACCCTCCATGGCCTCGCACCCCGCCTGAACCCCCCGCCACGGCCAGATAGAAATGCATCTGTTGCTATGCTATTATTAGAGCACCGTGAACATACTCCGACTCTCTCATGCCTCTTTCACAATAGTACACGTCCATAAACCTTGATCCGTGATTTAGCAACTGCGACTTTTGAAGCCCACACACATATTAGCCTATACTGCTAAAGGTGTTGTTATGCCAAGATGAGCTGTTATCCCAAAAATGAAAATTTGCTGAGAATGTGCTCACCCTCAGGCCATCCAAGATGTGGATGAGTTTGTTTCTTCATCAGATTTGTAGAAATGTAGCATTACATCACTCGCTCAGCAATGGATGTGATTGGGTGCCGTCAGAATGAGAGTCCAAACAGCTGATAAAAACATCACAATAATCCACAAGTAATACACACCACTCCAGTCCATCAGTTAACATCTGGAGAAGACAAAAGCTGCATGTTTGTGAGAAACATATCCATCATTAAGGCATTTTAACTTTAAACTGGTCAAAATATGAGTCCTCCAGTAGTGTTGTAATACTCGAGACCGGTCTTAAGACCATTTTTTGAAGGTCTCGACCTCATTTGTACTCGGTCTTGTCTTGGCCTCAGACTAAGAGGACTCGGGATTTTATTTCAAGACCACAACTGCTGGGATATCACTAAATTGCTGGTGCATTGTCGGATTTATTTGTTAACATCATTACTCAGATTGGATGTAAAACTTCCTGCTTCAAATGCAATCAATAACTTATTTCTAATTGGATTTATTTTGATACTGTTATGCCAGGTCAGAATTTAATGGGGAATTGTGTCAAATATCACCAAAGTTTATACAAATACAAAATTTCAAGATATTATTGCAAAAAGTACTTGTATGAGATCTTGTTTTTATATTATATAATATAATCAATATATAATTAAGCAATATCACAAGAGCAAGACAGCCGTTTTCACAAATATGATATTGATTTTATACAAACGTATACAAGTTAACATGAATCAATTTCATTTTAGCCACAATTTTAAACACCACTTTTTGGTCTTTCTGCAACGAAAACTGTTCCAAACAAACCCATAGCAGAACTTTTGTGCTTTTCCAGGCAATACTCAGCCAGGATTCGTTACTGAATGAATCAGCTGCTTTGAACTAATCGGTTAAATAAATGATTCAGTGACTCACTCATTCAGTGATTTGCCTCCACCTAGCCTACTGGTGGTTTTAGTTTCATATTTAAGTGTCATTTTTCTATAATCCAATTTTTTTTATGTTAGTCTCAATTATATTTATGGAGTTGTAATTGTACCAATTCAGATGAAACTTCTGTGCCACCTCTGGAAGATGAATTTTGTTGTTAGTAACTCAGTTTGATTGTAACAGCTCTATAAAATGTCTTAATATGCTAATTGTATTTATTGATCAAATTTCAGACATTTCTCAGGCAGTAAACATGGATGTTTCAGATGAATTTGAGAAGTGTTGGTTTGGTCTTGTCTTGGTCTCAACACTCTCTGGTCTTGGTCTCGGTTTAGGTGGTCTTGACCACAACAATATCCTCCAGTCAAAAAGTCCATCTCCTTTTGTCGTCTCACATCAAAATCCACTCACATATTTGTTTAGAGCTGTTTTGGCTTATAAACGGTGCTTGATCTGTGCCGATTTCTCTCCTGATTCAGACGAGAAGACTTTTTCATTTGAGAAAGCAATATTATGGACAGAGGACTCGTATTTTAACCGGAAGCAAAGGTTTGAAGTTAAAAATGTCTCAATGATGGATTTGTTTCTTACAAACACACAGCTTTTGTCTTCTCAAGATGTTAATTGATGGACTGGAGTGGTGTGTGTTACTTGTGGATTATTGTGATGTTTTTATCAGCTGTTTGGACTCTCATTCTGACGGCACCCATTCACTGCAGAGCATCCATTGATTTTCTCCATTTGATTTCTCCTAATCTGATGAAGAAACAAACTCATCTACATCTTGGATGGCCTGAGGGTGAGAAGATTTCAGCAAAATGTCATTTTTGGGTGAACTTGTGGGTGCAATTATGGGTAAGATGATAAATAATGTTTTTTACAATTATGGCTATTTTTCATATCAAATCTAGATTTGATTTGTAGCTGTGGAATGTAGCATGATCTAAAAACCCTTAAGATGTGGTAGCTAGTTTAGAGAGACTTTCAATCAGAAAAATAACCAAAATTTCTCCTGGTCCGCCTGTGAAGTTTTCCCGTTACATATGCGAGCGCGTCACACCGTGTGAGATCCCATGCCATGCTGCGTGGCCATCTGCTCGGTGGAAATGTAAGCAGACACAGGTTGGTGGGAGAGGAACTCTCAGAGAGATTTCTGTGCTGCGCTCCTACAGGAGGTGGCATGGAAATTCGTGTGCATTGGGTACAGTTATGCAATATAGTTCATAATTCATTTTTACACAGCAATATGGATGGTGTTTCATGCCAAAACCAAGCAGGGGAACAGCAGTAACTGGTACGGAGACAATCCTGGGCCTGTTGCGTAAAACTAGCATTGCTTACTAGTTGCGAACAAACCTGTTTTACTTTTTTTCTCTAAGATTAAGTCAAGTGCTTCTGGGAAAATCTTCATATTTTTTTAATCCATAATCAATTATAAAACAACATTAACAACCAGACGTCCTTCCTCAATTTTTTTTTTATAGCATAGAAAATGTTGGATGGAAACACCTTTTTTTTCTTCCCCCAAATGAAATTTTTAAAATGTTCATTAAAAATTTATATTTTTAATGTCGTTATCTAACAAGAAGTGCATATACTATGATGGAAACATGTTTAACAAATAATTTACTAGATGCACAAAAAAGGTCATGCAAGTTTAACTCGATGTGGCTGAATAATTTGCTCAAATTATTATTTAAATTCAACTTTTAGCACTCCTGGCCTTTTGTGTAAGACTAGCATTGCTTACTAGTAGCGAACAAACCTGTTTTACTGCTTTTGCGCTATAAAACAACATTAACAACCAGACGTCCTTCCTCAAAATTTTTTTATAGCATAGAAAATGTTGGATGGAAACACCTTTTTTTTCTTCCCCCAAATGAAATTTTTAAAATGTTCATTAAAAATTTATATTTTTAATGTCGTTATCTAACAAGAAGTGCATATACTATGATGGAAACATGTTTAACAAATAATTTACTAGATGCACAAAAAAGGTCATGCAAGTTTAACTCGATGTGGCTGAATAATTTGCTCAAATTATTATTTAAATTCAACTTTTAGCACTCCTGGCCTTTTGTGTAAGACTAGCATTGCTTACTAGTAGCGAACAAACCTGTTTTACTGCTTTTGCGCTAAGATTAAGTCAAGTGCTTCTGGGAAAATCAGTATTTTCATATCCATATTCAAATATAAAACAATAATTACAATAAATAATAATAGCAAGATGTCCATCCACTCATTTGTATTCAAATTTGGGAGAATTGAATAAAAATGCTGGATGGAAACAAGTAAAATAAAATATTTTTTAAATGTTCATGAAAAATTTTTTTAAACAAAACTTTTATGACTATTTTTATCTAACAAGAAGTGCATGTACTATGATGGAAACACATTTACCAAATAATTTACTAGATGCACATCAAAAAGGTCATGCAAGATTAACTCAAAAAATGAAGCAAGTAAATAATTTGCACAAAAGATTATTTCCATTCGCAACTCCAACTATTGTTTTTGGTCTAATTAACTTTTGACAAAAACATGACTGAAGCGACTGAACATTCTGGAAAGTAACTGAAGACAATCCTGGCCTTTTGTGTAAGACTAGCATTGCTTACTAGTAGCGAACAAAGTTTAAATCAGGTGCTTTTGGGAAAATCTGCATTTTTATATCCATATATATCTGTAATACTAAGATGTGACTTATAGAGTATCTATGTTTTTGGTAACACTTTACAATAAGGTCTCATTTGTTAAAAACTAACAATACTTCAACAGGATTTATTAATCTTGGTTAATTTCTACATTTACTAATACATTTTTTAAATTGCATTTGTTAACATAATTACACATACTGTGAACTAACAAACAATTAACAATTGTATTTATTTTAACTAACAAGGATGTAAAAATATATTGCTCATAGATAGTTAATGTTAACCAATGCATTAAACTAATGTTAACAAATGAGAGTTAAATAAGATAGATATTCCCCAACACTGCTATAACTAGCCAAACTAGGAGGGATTTCAGCTGGTAAAGGTGGTGAGAGAGGTCACAATGCTGAAAAAATAAGTTTGTGGCTCAGATCCAAGGTCAGGACTCTGAGAGGGGCAGATGGATGCTGTGAAGGCGCTTATTTACACGCAGTCAGTTGGCGACAATTAAGCGGCTAAATAAGAAGGAATGCTGTTATTTCTTTCTTGGTCTCTTAAAAGGTTCCAAAAGGGGGTTTTCGCAGCACCGTCTTAGAAGAATAACTCTGGGCTCCCAAATTTTTTTTCTTTGACTCTTAACCTTCTTTGACTCTTAAAAATAAAGGTTCTTATTGGCATCTATGGTTCCATGAGGAACTTTTAACATCCAATCTTTCTATTCCACAAAATATTCTTTATAGTGGAAAAGCGTTTGTCAGATTATTAAAATGTTCTTCAAACTAAGAAAAGTGGCATCACTGTGAAAACCTCTTTTTTTGGAATCTTTATTTTTGGCTTTTATGGCTCCATGAAGAACCTTTAACATTCATAGAACCTTTCCATTCCACAAAAGATTCCTTACACTCTTAAAAATAAAGGTTCTTTATTGGCATTGATGGTTCCATGAAGAACTATTAACATCCATGGAACCTTTATGGTTCTGTGAAGCAGAAAAAGGTTCTTCAGATTATTACAATGTTAATTTTAGCTCTATCTAATAAAATGTGCAGTCATTTACATACATTTCCAGAACATAAATATGAACACTGGACAAAGCCAGATTCAAAATTCTTGTTTTATTCTATTTACATATTAGAGTTAAAGGTTTTTACAGAGGGGATTTTGGATTTCTGTTTTTATCACTTCGTAATTCAGTAAATACTGTCAAAAGCCAAAATAAAGTCATTTTCACTATGCTTTTAGGAATAAAATGTTGTATAAATGACATATGAACAAACCCCTCTATAAAAAGCCTCAGAATATAGAGAGGAATAAAACTTTAAAATTTGGTGTATGTGAGTGCTGCTGAATTGGAGAAACAAACTAATTTTGAGTAAACGGCCTTTAAAGATATTCAGTGTAATTGAAATCTACAGACATAAACAGATAAAGTTCAATGAATGACATATGAACAAACCCTTCTATAAAAACCTTCAGAATATAGACAGGAATAAAACTGTAAATTTTGCTGTATGTAAGTGCTGCAGAAGTGGAGAAACAAACTCATTTTGAGAAAATTGTTATCGAATATAAAATATTGCAATTGAAATCTACAGAAGCAAATAGATTAAGTGCAAGAAAATTAAATTAAAAAAAGTGTAATTTGCCTTAGTCAACACATTATAAAAAGCAAAATCCCCAAATTTACCAGTGCATGAAAAAAATAAGTTTTTGCCTGTAGTGTCTTGCTTTATTTACTCTTTTGGACAATTTAGTGATTCTATTAAAGTGAAAATTTCACACATGAATTTTGACATCTGCTTTGTGATTATGGGATTGTCACATTGGCCCTTTGGAGTTTGGACTCTAGAGGGCGAAATGTGTTTTCCACCAGGGTAGAACATACAAATGTGCATTATATTCATTACACTGTTCAAAAACAGTAGTGAAACTACTCTTTTCTAAAAAAAAAAAAGAAATAAAAATATTTCTGATTCATTAAATAAAATAATTGTGAAAAAACAACCAATGCATTTCAGTTCATCTCATAGTTTAGAATACAGACTATCTAATCAATAAATATAAAGCCACCGCATGATACTGTTAAATGCACAGGCATTCATTTTCTAAATTAAAGGTTTTTTGTTCATGTTATTTAAGTAGTTATAAAAGATAATAATATCCGTACTGACCTGTGCAGGGCTGCATCTTGGTTAGTCCATTTCAAACTTTACTTTTGCCTAAAGAAAAAGACAGAAAATATATTATTATAATTATCATTTTGTAAAATTAGCAATTTGTTTGCTTAAAAGTACAGTTATAATACTTATATATTTAAACACAGTTACTGCTGTATTTGTGGTATTTCACTCAATACATGTGAGGCTGAAAGAACACTTTTTAAAAATAATTAAACCATGCTGTTCATAAACATTTCGCTATTTGTTTAAAGAAGTAAATCATCAATACACTTAATTGATGACTGTGACAGAGGTTTATTTAGTGAATTATTTATCAAAGATCAACAAAAGGTGAAGTAATTAGTGATTATTAAATCAGCTGATTATGAAAAACTGAACAGAGGAGGTTAAATGTGAATATGTAATTCAAAAAGATGTCCTGCAAATCTTATATTTGGCAATTCTGCAAAAAAAAAGACATGACACTATTGGGCCTTTTTTGGACTCTAGAGGGCGAAATGTGTTTTCCACCAGGGTAGAACATACAAATGTGCATTATATTCATTACACTGTTCAAAAACAGTAGTGAAACTACTCTTTTCTAAAAAAAAAAAGAAATAAAAATATTTCTGATTCATTAAACAAATAAAATAATTGTGAAAAAACAACCAATGCATTTCAGTTCATCTCATAGTTTAGAATACAGACTATCTAATCAATAAATATAAAGCCACCGCATGATACTGTTAAATGCACAGGCATTCATTTTCTAAATTAAAGGTTTTTTGTTCATGTTATTTAAGTAGTTATAAAAGATAATAATATCCGTACTGACCTGTGCAGGGCTGCATCTTGGTTAGTCCATTTCAAACTTTACTTTTGCCTAAAGAAAAAGACAGAAAATATATTATTATAATTATCATTTTGTAAAATTAGCAATTTGTTTGCTTAAAAGTACAGTTATAATACTTATATATTTAAACACAGTTACTGCTGTATTTGTGGTATTTCACTCAATACATGTGAGGCTGAAAGAACACTTTTTAAAAATAATTAAACCATGCTGTTCATAAACATTTCGCTATTTGTTTAAAGAAGTAAATCATCAATACACTTAATTGATGACTGTGACAGAGGTTTATTTAGTGAATTATTTATCAAAGATCAACAAAAGGTGAAGTAATTAGTGATTATTAAATCAGCTGATTATGAAAAACTGAACAGAGGAGGTTAAATGTGAATATGTAATTCAAAAAGATGTCCTGCAAATCTTATATTTGGCAATTCTGCAAAAAAAAAGACATGACATTAATTGGAAAAATGCCAACAAATTTTTAACGCATTTCTCATTAAAGCACATAATTTGCATTTACAAACTAAAAATGAGCTAGTACAAATATAAAAATACAAGGTGTCGTAACCTAAAACTAAGATGAAAAAAAAAAAACGAAAAACAGAAATTAGTATTATCTAATGAATCCAGTATGGACACATTTATAATAATTAAACAAGAATGACTGAATGAAAAAAAAACAAGCTTATAGAGTTCAAAATGTAAAATATGTTGCGATTTGTTAAGATTTGTATTCTTTTATGCATTAAAATAAATTTTCTTTGACATGCTTTATTATGAACATAAGTACTGTGTAGAGTGTTTTTTTTTTAAAGAGAACATATTTTAGATAATGAATTTTAAAATATAAATTTAAATATAATATGCAATATTTTGTGACCGTTAAAGCGGACACCTATTTTTTTTTAACTTTCTTGCAAAATCTACAAATATCTATTTACAGTTTTGCACATGAGCATGATAAACATGTAAATTGTGGGACTATAATTGTTTTTTAATTATGTAAGTGACTCTTCATGACTATACATGCACACGAACACACACTCTTTCTTCCTTTTACTTTGTTTGTCTCACTTTTCTGTAAAACATTTGGTGCAAATTGCAAAAACACGAAAAGATGTGTAAATCCGCTTTGCCACTAACAATCGTGGATTATCTAGCAGTAAATGACCCAATAAATCTGTCAGCTAACACAAATTATCCTAACATTGTGGTGAAGTTCGGACTTTGGAGAAGAGAAACGAATTATGATGAAATATAATTCGTTATATTTTGCGAACATGTGTGCAGTATATTAAAAAATGTACGGAATGAATGTTTTGTGTGTGTGTTTGTATTCCACTGGCAATGTCTCTAACAATCGTGGATTATCTAGCAGTAAATGACCCAATAAATCTGTCAGCTAACACAAATTATCCTAACATTGTGGTGAAGTTCGGACTTTGGAGAAGAGAAACGAATTATGATGAAATATAATTTGTTATATTTTGCGAACATGTGTGCAGTATATTAAAAAATGTACGGAATGAATGTTTTGTGTGTGTGTGTTTGTATTCCACTGGCAATGTCTCAAACACATTACATGCAAAACATCAGAAACAAAGACAATTACTACAAATTTAATAGGATTAAAAATACTTAAATGGATTTAACCAAAAATAAAATGCAGTACAATAAATGTCCTGCAGTGCATCATAAAAGCCGTGAAAAACTAAACATTCCGCACTGTTATTTTGGGACTAAACTGTCTACAGTAGGTTAGACAATACACACGCTAATAGACAACCATTCACAATCACACACTAAAAGTGTCACAAAATGTTATACGTGTTATAATATCTGTGATTCTGGTTATTGTGTGTTTGCTAGTTTAGTTTGAAATATATTTAAAATGTAAAAAAATGAAACATTTGAAAATAAAAAGGCGAGTACACACACACACACACACACACACACACACACATATATGCTGACGACAATGCAAAACACACACATATATTTTACCATTAAAATTATACAGATTTTACATAAAGCTAATTATAATTAATAGACTAACTCTAAAACTTGTACGAATCATTTTGCACTTAAAAAACAAAAAAGAAAACATTGATTTCATTTATGGATCGCTTTTATCTAAGTGAGGATCTCAGATACCTTCAAAAGGTAAAAGTGTGTGTACATACACTGATATAATCCAGTGTTTCAGTTTTCAACAAATGTGCACAAAATAATTGCAAAAATATTTAAAAAGTTGATTTAAATTATGAAATAAAATCAGGACTTGTGTGTGTGTGTTTTGCTAAATAAACTACTTTTGACAGAACATTACGGTCTTAAAATATAGTGGCAACTATAAAACAATTAATCTGCTGTCTGGGGTTTAATTTTGTCAATATAATAGATAAATTTTTTCTATATTGACTTAAAATACCGATAGAGCTCGATTCACACACTGAATCAAAATGGTGGACTTGAACTTCACACACACTGAGGCCCAAACTACTGAGGAATGAGACCCCCTCACTGCAGACCGTGTGTGTGCGTGTGTGTGTGTGTGTGTGTGTGTGAGAGAGAGAGACCAAGCGAGTTCACAATTATTTAGAACTATCCCAAAATTCAATTTAAAGCTGTGTACTAAATTTTTACCATAATAAATATGTATTTTTTAAGTACTTCTAACTGTGTGCCTGACCAGTCAAGATGCAAATATTTAGAACTATCCCGAAATTCAATTTTAAGCTGTGATAAATATGTATTTTTGAAAAACTTCTAAGTGTGTGTGTGTGCACGCATGTGGAGCTAACATACATTTCACAACTAAAATGTTAGAAGTCTCCACATTCGATGAAGCACCCTGTTCCTGCTCTGGCAGTTCTTTGCCAACCACAGTGAAATCCCAAAGTCAGCAAATTCAACGACACTGCAGGTAAAATCACACACTAGGCCACAATCCGGGAATCCAATTGAATAATTCCACACCCACAATAACAGTTATAGCAGGAATATTTGCCTGGAAGGCATAAATCTACACCACACGAGTTACGACAGAATATCAAACTCTGTCCTAAAAACTGCCTGAGAATTATCAGAAAACAAAACCTTTGCAAAAAATACAATCCCAAATTCTACAAATCGGAAATAACCAATAGTAAATAAATATCGGTCTAGTTTCAGAATTCACTGTAATATTATTTAGGGAATATATTTATAAAATCAAGTGTTTCAATATTTATTTTTAATTCTTGAAAAACCCCGATACACATATAGATGTATGAATTCTATCTAAAATTTAGGGACGCCATATTGTCTTAAAAACATAAAAAATTCATTAAAAAAAAGTCTCCCGAGCTTCGCTAGTTATTAAATTTATCATAAATGTGTTAAATCATAACTATCAGGAATATATAACATTTTTGTTGCTTTTTAAATGCATCGTGCAAACATATTACCTTAATAGTGCAAACCACATGTGCAGTCTGTAGGTTTAAAATATATTTAATCAAAAAGCACACCCACAAAAAAAAAATCACTGTATACAATGGCAATTAAAATAAATATATTTAAATTCAAAGAAGAAAAAGATTGCAATAAATAAAATCATCAGTACGGTGGATCAAAGGCCCAGTTCTGCTGCCAAGACTGTAATTCAATAGAGGCCAAATACAAAGAGTAAAGCCAGGCCTCCTGCTACCGATTATAATTTAGTAAGAAAAAACAACATTTTGACCCAAATATAAATAATGAAAAATACCTTTTTCACCATGTTATATTTAATAAAGCAAGGCCGCTACGTACAAAAGTTTCAGTTATCAACATGGTTGAAAAGTATCAGCATAAGCATACTTAAGATACTTAATTGTAATCTGAAATGTATTTCGTACACATTGCAGAGTTTACTGCATTTGCAAGCATTTCGGAATAATATTGAATTCAGCGACGCTTCGTAAATTCAAATTGCAAACAATGTGAAAATGCACAAAAGAAGTTTGTCGGTGTCTTTGCATTTTATCCGAATCGGTGCATTTTAATCGCCGTACGGTGTGCTTCAGAAATGCATGTTATAAACGTTACCCTCACGTAAGCAATCTGTTCATCGAAAAAGGAAAAAAGCATGCACACACACACACATGCATTTGCACACGCTGCTGTGACTTACACATATCTGCGAGGACGTCAGCGTCCGGAGGCCTCTTTTTTCTTGCTGCGGAGAGAAAGAGAGAGAGGGGCTGCGAGTTCGTCCCGTTCAGCTATCCCGTCTGGTCTCGAATTCCAGTTCCCCCTCTCGGCAGGCCTGCGCAGGGCTCTGGTTAGGCTCGCCGGCTGGGCCTCTGGAACAATAGGAGGCCTCCGGGGCGTCTGGGAGGCGTGTGTGAACCCCGTCTGCGGACCGGAGCGCGTCTCGCTGAATGGTGCGTGTTAGCAAACACACAATTAGCGTGTCTGCCGCATGCAAATGGTCCCGCGGTTACCACGGCACATGCGATCGGCTCTCGAAGGCCCGAGGAGCATCAAGCAGGCTTGAATAAACGCCCCCCACCTCCTCTTTCACGATCCTCTTTTTCGGGGTCTTCCACTCCCCTCGCAACCATCCTTCACTTTTTTCTGTGTTAGTTGCACGGACGCATGCGAGTTTGCGTTTTCCACTCACCCCCGACGTTTCCTTTTGCAGATCACTGATATTTTCACTCGCCTTTTGTGAGCAATTGGCACCTGTCCCAGAGCGGAGCAGCTTCACTCCTGAATCCCCTGTCCGAATGGATCGGGAACGGGTAAGTCGCAGGTCAGTACTTCCAAATGGCAAATCCAGCAGGTTTTCGGCCTGGAGCTGCGCCAGCGTGGGCTGCGGGTCAAGGTGCACTCAGCCGCTCACTGAAATTGAAAAAGAAAATGTCAAAATAGGCACTTCGCGAACCGAATGCAGGCTGAAATTCCGCAATCGGGTGCATTAAAAAAGCGCAGGAACATACTGGAAAACTGGGAGCATGTTGGCAGGCTTGTGGTGGAGCCTCTTTCGCGCTCTTGTCAAGAGGCCCTCGCGGTAAAAAAAAAAAGAAGCTTGTTTTTTTTCTTTCCCCTTTTTCCCCCCTTACACTCTCTAAACTAGTCTCCAGCGGGTCTCCACCTTGCAAAGACAGCGGAGCTCGAGGAGAGAGAGAGAAGTGGGAGGGCGGAAAAACTGCAAGTACGGAGCGGGAGGAGAAAGACAGAGAGAGAGAGAGAGAGAGAGAGAGAGAGAGAGAGAGTGTGACATAGATACTCCTCCCCCAGCGCGCAGACTCAGTGTGTTTTCTCTCACACACACACACACAGAGAGATAGAAAAATGAGTGGAAACACAGCAGAAGAACGCAACTTTCTGCAGAAAAAGTATCTGAAACTTTGAATTCCACACAGTTTCTGAACATAAACAGTGGATTTATTTTTAGTTCTTCTTTCCATCAAACATTCATTTGGTTGCTTTAAAGGCTTGCATTAAAAGTTCACTTTAACATTTCGAAACCCTGAAAGCTGCAGGTTTATTTATTCACGAACGCAAAGTAGACTTCTCCGAATAATCCAGAAAGGACTAATAACACCACAAATAACCAAAAAATTAAACGGCATGTCCAAGTATTTGATGCCAAAATGGCACTGGTTCACATGTGTGTCCGAACTCAACACGCTAATTTTGAATTCTGGACATGAACGTGAAAAAACGAGGGGGATTTTTGTTCACTAACAACTCAAACTTCAGTGTCTTCCTCAAATAAAGTATAATGTGACTTCTGATGGCTTGGCATATAGTGTACAAGTTGCAAGGACTACCGTTATGATACTACAGGAATGATGTACAGAAACGAGCTGCCTAAAACAACATGGTGAGTGATTAATGACAGAACCGATTTTTGTGCGAACTATTCCTTTAACCAGCAAGTTCACTCGACTTCGAAAATAGACTTTCCTAAAACAGACGTTTTCAGAATCTTACTAGTTCATTTAAATTGTCTACTAAACATCTTAAATGCAGAAATTGCATTTTAAACATTTGCAGAATAGAATATCCATCATCTCATTTAAGCTGAATTCATCACAAGCATTTTATGCATCTGAACACTAATAAAATTTTATTTTCACACTTTGCATAATTGGAAAAAAAAAAATCGGAAATGATGCACAACAGGAATGTTCTGCTAACAAATGATATTTTCCTTAATTTAACTTTGACTTCTTAATGCATCAAGTGTCATACATCATCTCGAGGTCTTCACTGACTAACCTTATTAGGCGCATAACGGTTTGTCGTAGTGGAAATTACACCACAATTGATAACAGACGGTTGTAATTTATGCACAAAAAATTGTATAAATCATTTTTGCATAATCACTTTTTGTTTAGATCATCATAGTTTTAAAAATGCAATCATATTTTTACAATGCATTTTCATAGTTTAAGACTAGGGTTAGGACAAATATTTGAAAGCAAACCTAAATGAAAGCATTTCTGAAAAACAAAAATCAAAGTCTGTTGGTTAATAAAAATCAACCCCTGGTTCATAAAAGTGCCTGTACTTAAAGAAACACCCACATCCAACCAATCAGAGTCTCCGCACTGGATATAAGGAACAGCTCTGACCTTCCAGCCAATGAGAAAGCAGGAAAACGGACAGGCTCCGCCCCCACGATACTGCTCTCCTCACGTGCCCTTTCTCTCTCTCTCTCTCTCTCTACCCCTCGTTCATCCGTCCATCTGCCCCGTTCCCTTAAATCCCTTCCTTGCGGTGACAGAACGAGGCTGGGAAAGAAAACGACAAAAACATTAGACGTTCCCTCAAACACACCCTCACCGTGCAGCAAGGGATGTGTCGCGATATCGTTTCCCTCCATTTCTTCCCAGTGTTCAACACTACGGCAGGCACAATTGTAAGAAATTAAAAGGAAAACGACACAACAAAAAAGGTTCTGTTTGCTCTGGCTCTTGCTCCAGAAACCCCTCGAGGCCAGACTCGCTGTACAAACTTTTTTTCCCTCCGAATGCAGCGCACGCGCTCGTTCTCTCTCTCTGACCTTCCAGCCAATGAGAAAGCAGGAAAACGGACAGGCTCCGCCCCCACGATACTGCTCTCCTCACGTGCCCTTTCTCTCTCTCTCTACCCCTCGTTCATCCGTCCATCTGCCCCGTTCCCTTAAATCCCTTCCTTGCGGTGACAGAACGAGGCTGGGAAAGAAAACGACAAAAACATTAGACGTTCCCTCAAACACACCCTCACCGTGCAGCAAGGGATGTGTCGCGATATCGTTTCCCTCCATTTCTTCCCAGTGTTCAACACTACGGCAGGCACAATTGTAAGAAATTAAAAGGAAAACGACACAACAAAAAAGGTTCTGTTTGCTCTGGCTCTTGCTCCAGAAACCCCTCGAGGCCAGACTCGCTGTACAAACTTTTTTTCCCTCCGAATGCAGCGCACGCGCTCGTTCTCTCTCTCTCTGCCCCCTCGCTCTTCCTCTCGGCAGCTCAACTAATGAGAGCGCAGAAAGAGAGAAAGCCTGCGAACTGCGAAAATCTCTTTCCAGCTCTTGCGGACTTACTCAACACTTCTCTTTGCAGTCTCTCTGGGGATTGTGGGAAGACTTGTGACATTTCTGAAGGTGGGGCTACTTTCCTAACCAGCGTCTTTCTGTGTCTAAAAGTGTGAATGCTGCGATCGGGCTGTTCTAACAAGGCCGATGCACGAGGGCGCACCCGTCCCCTTCACCACTGGCTCACGTCTGTCCTCGCACACTAACACACTGCCAAGCAGAACTGCAAAGTGAAAAAGCAAGCTTGCGTGGATCGTGCGGCCTGTTGGACATCATCTACGGCGTTAGGTAGGGACCCCGCTGTTTTCCTCCCACGTCACATCTCGCCACGGCTTCTGACCAATCGGTGGCCTCGCAGATAAAACCGTACGCGCTTATATTTAATTTTGAACTTCAGATAGCCCATTGCATCCCCAAAGACTGAGCGAGCAGCACAGCAACGGCTTTATCTTTTGTTATTTCGCTGGAACGTCTCTCCGTTTATTAGGGTTTATTTGTTGTTTGTGGTGCTGCAGCAGTTGTGCCATCGGGTTCGACCAAGGACAAGCGTTTGCTTACAGGTTACCGGCCAACTATTAATGACCTGAACTTCAACACCGCCTTTATGTCTGAACACGACTCCCATTAGTGACAAAACAGAACAGCATATTTCAGATGCATCATAAATCCCAAAGTGGTACGATTGCAATGGCTGTGCATTCATTTCACAATTATTGCACTGCGGAGTGCACGAGAAAATATGTGAAAGATGCTACGTGCTAGATACCACATTCAGTGACTGATACTAGAACATGAGGGTTGTTGAAAACATAAAATGTTGCTGTGCAAACACTCACGCAAATATACTTCACCTCTCTGAGGCCCCGCACATCACAAAATGGCGGCTGCCACCATCTTGTAGATGTCGACTGTCTTATATCTGAAGCCTTTTAGACCATTTCTGTAAGAAACACAATAAAGATTGCATTGTGAAAAACACTGAACTGTGTATATTTCAAACGAGTTTAACTGCAACTGATGCTGCAAAGCACTTTTTTCCTTCTTTACAGAGAAAAACAAAATGCATGGATGAAACAAATATTTCAGTGTTTTCTCATTTAATTTTGTGCAATTGTTATTCATTTTAATTTGAATAAATAAATAATCGCATTAAGATTAAAATTGCATAACAATTGCATTCAAATCACATTTAAAATGCATAACAATTGCATTCAAATAAAAATGTTAATGCATAACAAATGCATTAATATAAAAATGAAAATGCATAACAATTGCATTCAAATAAAAATGAAAATGCATAACAACTGCATTAAAATCAACATTAAAATGCATAACAATCGCATTAAAATAAAAATGAAAATGCATAACAATTGCATTCAAATAAAAATTTAAATGCATAACAATTGCATTAAAATAAAAATGAAAATGCATAACAACTGCATTCAAATAAAAATTTAAATGCATAACAATTGCATTCAAATCAACATTAAAATTCATAACAATTGCATTAAAATAAAAATGAAAATGCATAACAACTGCATTCAAATAAAAATTTAAATGCATAACAACTGCATTAACATCAACAATAAAATGCATAACAATTGCATAACAAATGCATTAATATAAAAATGAAAATGCATAACAATTGCATTAAAATAAAAATGAAAATGCATAACAACTGCATTAAAATCAACATTAAAATGCATAACAATCGCATTAAAATAAAAATGAAAATGCATAACAATTGCATTCAAATAAAAATTTAAATGCATAACAATTGCATTCAAATCAACATTAAAATTCATAACAATTGCATTAAAATAAAAATGAAAATGCATAACAACTGCATTCAAATAAAAATTTAAATGCATAACAACTGCATTAACATCAACAATAAAATGCATAACAATTGTATTAAAATCAACATTAAAGTAATGTATTTGTTGCCTTAAAACTGATTTTTAAAATGCATTTGTATTTATTTTAATTCAATGCCATGCAATGCAACTTTTTTGTTTTCTCTCTCTCAAGCAAGGGAAGCTATATTTGAATGTTTCTCCAATGGATCCTTCATCAGATGAACCAGAGTTTAACTGGATATTGAAAATGGAATAATATGCCAACCAGCACAAATATTTTGCTGCACATTTGAGTCAGCACTGTATTCTTTGATATCGTGATGCTGGCCTGACATTAGCATGGGTAAGTAAGTAGTCTGTACGAGGCCAGAAAGCGCGAGGTGGTGCGACTCGACTCTCCTCACCAGATTCACACGCACAGTCTTTGTCGCAACAGGAAATGCTGGACAAATTAAAGCCAACAAGTACACAGCCGACAGCAGGAGATTTGAGAGCCGAGAACTGCGATTGTCTTTCATGTCCGGAAAAAAGGATACTAAGAGTTTCAAGGTAAGTATTCTTCAAAAGAGCAGCACTGTTTGTTTCTACTGTGAGAAATTAAAGCGGTGGCATTTTTTAAACGGCTGCTGTCCAAACATGCATGTTGCACACAATAAAAATATAATTCATCAAATGTTCCTCACTGAATTTTAATCTACTTCGACAAAAAAAAAAATCCACACAACTTCGACTGAATTTAAATAACTTCACATATCCGTCACAGGCAAGTAATCTCCCGACTTCACACAAAAAAGGCTGTTTTTGGTGGTCTGACCTCTGACCTCCACACGTGCCTAAAGAACTGCTCCATTGACTCCCCGCTGGGTCAGACAAAAAGGTCACGACCCCTGGGTCAAAAGCGTTACTCAAGGGGCCGTTCAAGCTAAACTGAGAGGGTGTGACAGTTGTTTGCTTTGACGAGGTAAAGATTACGCTCACATTAAGTGTTGCCGACAAGCGGGTCAGACCCTTGGGAATGACCCCTGGGACCTCAGACAGCTCCTCTTATTAACTGCTGCTGACCCTTGACCTCTGGCATCATCCAAGCGAAACCGGGCTCTCAAGCTCGCAAACGCTTCTGGAGGGACGCGTCCCACTCGTGCACCTGATCTGCATAAATCAATAATAGCATGCAAATTTGATATTACATAATTATTTCAATAAAATGCTGGAATTAATTTGAACGTCTTTGAAAACCTCTCCATAATGTTTTTTCCAAAATGTTCAGCTTAATGAAACATTTAAAAGAAAGCAAGAGAATTTGAAAAGCAATGTTTTGAAAAATTAAAAACTGGTTTCTAATAATTGTAAAAATGCTAGAGTAGCATTTGAAAGAAAGTTAATATAATTATGTAATATAAATGATTACTCAAATCCAACATTTCTACCTACAGATCAAATATTGTTGTGTAAAACTTCAGTAGAACTAGCAATTACATAAGACAAATTTTTCCCATTAAAATTTTGTGCAAAGCCCTTAAAATATGAAATATTTATAAATACATATTATGCATGTCCTATGTCTAAAATAAAACATTGTGAAAATATATAGTGTCTTTGTGGAGATGAGAGTTGTGTGTGTGTGTGAGAGAGAGAGAGAGAGAGAGAGAGAGAAAGAAAGAATAAATTTTTTTTCCCCACTATATCACTCATATTTAGCTTTACTAACTACACTCAATAGTCATTCAAGAATTCATTTTTAATAACTGTTTTCTCTGTGATTATAAATACATTCAGTTAGTTAGACATTTTAAAACCCATCTTAAGCATTTAAATAGTGTTCAACTGCACAAACTGTGCTAATATATTTACACTAAATAGCCAAATATTATTTTTAGATTAAGATTAGAAATTTTATTCAAAACAACTCGGATGATTCAATGCCTCTTGTCACAGACCGTCTTCATTGATATTCAGTGAACCAAATGCCACAATATTTTCTGATAATACCCCATAAAAAAAAGACATTCAAAAATATCGTATTCCTCATGCGATGAATAAAGGTGTGTGAAAATATACTTCAAACACACCAGTGTACAGACACTCGAATCTTCTTTGCCTGTGATATTCACAATCATAGAATTCTTCAACAAAACATAAATCATAAACACACGCAATATCATTTCTTATGATTTTACGTTTTTTTCTAAAATGAGAAGCAAAGGCAATACAACCATTTTCTATAAAACTATAGTTTTTTTTCCTCTTCTTTATAAGTTTCGATGATCTGTCCATTTCCTAACAAAAATATAATGCGCACACTTATTGATAAATAAGAGCTGCAGTTATTTAGGCTGGTAAAAATGGCCCATGTTAAACTGTACTCAAATGAGAATCAAATCATTTTCTCTGCAGATCTTTTTCAAAGTTAATGAACAAAAACCTCAAATGCAAATCTCAGCTTTCCTTTTCTCACATTTAAATCCACGTTTTATCTGTTTAGATGCAAACATAAATTGATAGTTCAAAGGATTTTCATACATTTTAAATGACATTTTTTGTTCATGTATTTGAATGCACATTCATGTTGGCATGCTGCATGTGCAGTTTCATCAACGCAGCTATTGAGACTCATCAATCAAACAATAAAAATGAGCACATGTAAACTCGACTCACCCGGTGAAGATGGAGCCCATGAAATCTCTCCAGCTCCACGCACTCGTTTCAGGTCTTCTCTCGCAGCTGGCGCTTGCGTCTTTGACAGCCTTGTAAAGCGAGTCCTTCTGTTTGGGCCACTCTTCATCCAAAGCTGGCACGGGACGTGACCAAATGAAAAGAGTGAGTGAGAGAGAAAGAAACTGGTCAGAAAAGAAAAACACTGAAACAAACCAGGTGCGAACCGAAACCTATGGGAATTTCACAGAAATTGACGCCGTTAAAATTCAGCGCTGGGGACAACGAAACGCACGGCAAAGCAGGTTGGCATACGTGTGCACAAATTGACCTATAAAGTGCATTAAATACTTTTGCATTGGGACCAGGACCTGCCTAAGTGCCACGTCAGCAATGTCCTGTTGGACCGGGCATCATCAAGTTCCTCCGCCCATGGTGCCCTCTTCACAGACCAGACATCAGCAAATAAAAGCACTCCAGCGCTTGCTCATCCGTAACACTACGGCAGCCGTCGAGAGCAAACTGTTAGTCTTTTGTGATGTTCCTCTGATTGCACATAAACGTGTAACAGGGCCATTAAAACACACTTTTGCAATTTTAGTCTAAAACGGTTTTAACCAGCACAAACATCAGTGTTTCGTGACTTCTTTGAGGTCACACTTCAGAGTGTTTTGCTAACATTACATTAGGTTATGAAAATGTTATTTATCAATGTTCTCTGAACATTTTTTCTTGGTTATATGAACCTTTTTATCCCAATACAATTTTAAATCTTCTAGAAACATTTTTTTCCCCTTGGTTATGCAAATGTTAACCTTTCTTTTTTAATTATTTTCCAAACATTCTAAAAAACGTTTTTCTTGGTTATATGAACATTCCATTTGATCCTTTTGCAAACATTATCGGAATGTTACTTTTGAACGTTCTGAAACGAGTAGCATTTAAAAAAACATCAGTTGAACGTCCAACTACAATGTTCCATAAATGATGTATAAATGTTTTGAGAACGTTATTAATGACCAGATAGCTTTAAACAAACTTTCTATTAACGTTACTGAAAGAAGTGTGTTTAGAACTCGCCAGAGCATTATCCAAAGTTATAAGAACGTTCCCTGTTAGCTGGGACTTTTTTGTTTTTGCGTTACACTGAATGCATTAACATCAACCGAGCTCAAAATATCATCTATAAAAATATGAAAATCATTTGAAGTCATCTAAAAGCACTGGGACTTTTTGGGATTACTTCAGTAAACAATTTTGAGCCACTTCAAGTGCAACGAAGCACGCAATTTTGATGTCATTCACAATCCGTGCTTAAAATTCAATCAAATGTTTAGGAAAATTCACATAAGTTGCTTTGGATAAAAGCGTCTGCTAAATGCATAATTGTAAATAATGCAATATCTTGGCAATATGAACTCAATAATCCTGCATGCTTGTAAATACAGTAACATCAGAAATATGTGGATGCTTAGAAATGACCGTTAAATGGCAAAATATAAAAACGCTAGGATCTTTTCTCTTCACTAGCGTGACTTTTCTTCATCGTGTCTGAAATCTCAGTGTATTTAAATCAGCTGGGGATTTTTAGTGGATGCATAAAGTCAGTTCTCCTCGAGTTCACACAGGTGTGGAGAATCACATTAACTAACTAACTAACTAATCTCAAACAACTACTGGTTTAGTATTTAAAACTTCTTTTTGTCAAATGATTTGCTTTAAAAGTGTAATTGTGCATTCTTCTGTACAATAAATGACATCAAATACCAAATCAAATATGTAATGTAGTGACAGACATTTGAAGTATTTCGAGTAACTAGGTGTGAGACACAAAACTGAGGGCCAAACAGCAAAAGTCATACAGACAAACTGACAATATACAGATTCAAACTGAATAATGTTGGATGTTTCTGATCACAAAATAATATTTAGCATTTTTTCATTTAGTTAGTTTTAACTTGACCAGTGAACACATTAATTTGGACTGTATTTAGCCATAATAAAATAAAAAAAAATGTATTTTGAAAATTCAGTCATCGCACTCTTTTTATCTAGACTTTGAGGTTTTGCTTTTCTTTAAAAAGTATTTGACCACATTTTACATTTAATAAATTGCTGCAATTAACTTCTAGAATATTCTTGTCCAAACCCTCCATATTACATTATAAAATATAAAATTAGGTTTTAAGAATAAAATCTACTAAACTAAACTGCATTGCCTCTAAAAAAGTATGGAAATGATTTACTTGTATATTTACTGTAATGTGAATGTGCTATAATTTTAATTAAGATTTTTTTTTTATAATCAATTTAAAAAAAACATATTATTTGAATTTAAAAGCCACAACAAAAGCTGACAACCACAAACATACTGTATTTAGATATCAAGTACTTGTAGATAAGTACTTAAGTCATTTTAGAAATAATTTACTTTATTTAAAAAAAAAACTATTTTAATTGAACATGATTTTTTATCTCTATATTTGTTCAAACCCTCCAATTCATATTACATTTTAAAATATAAAATTAGGCTTTGAAAAAACAATATTTACTAAACTAAAATGCATAGTCTAGCATTGCTTCTAAAAACTATGGAAATATTTTCTCGTGTATTTACTCTAAAAGTATTTTCTAATATGAATCAAGACAATGTGTTGTAGTTTTAGCTAAGATTTTCTAAATAATCATTTTAAATAAATATTTTATTTTCTGAATTTAACAGCCACAACAACCACAAACATGCTGTACTCAGATATCATTAAGTATTTTGAAATAAAGTCATTTTAGAAAGAATTGACTTTATAGTAAAAAAAAAAAAAAGTTTTATCTCCATATTCATATTACATTCTAAAATACAAAATTAAGCCTTAAAAACAATTTTTACTAAACTAAAACGCAGTCTAGCATTGCTTCTAAAAACAAAATAAATGATTAACTTGTATATTTACTGTAATAATACTTCTTAAGAGAATGTGCTGTAATTTAGGCTATTTTTTAAATAATAATTTTAAATAAATATGTTACTATTAAAATTTAAAACCACAAAAGTACTTTCTAATTTTAGAAATAATTGACAAAAAACGTTATTTTGTATCTCTATATTGTGTTTGCACTCAACAGGCCTGCGATTTTCAATGCAAACCCTTTTTCAGTTTATAATAATAATGCACATTCTTTGACATAATTCCAGACGCATTCAGCTCAAGCAGAGGTCGACTGACTTTTACTTGTGAATGTGATGAACTCTACAAGCCGTCCGTCTGAGTGTGGCCTCTCAGAGAAAGCTGCTGCGCGCTCACCTAAAGACAGACAGAGCCGGAGTTAACGGGGGGCTTTGGCCCAATAATCCCCACCCCCAACTTTTTCATTTTCTAAAGGTGGAGCTGTCTGTCTGTCCGTGGGACCGTCTCTCTCTCTCGGGTCTAGACTGAGGGGGGCTGGGTGGATCACGTGCGCCAAGCCCATGACAAAAGCCTCTTTTATGAAGAGCGTATGCAGATAGAGCTGCTGCTTTTGTGCAGCGACCCCAAGCTCGGATGGAGAGAGCAGCAGCAGCAGGAGGAGGAGGAGGAGGAGGGAAAGAGAAAGAGAAAGAGAGAGTTAGATGTAGATGCTCTGAGAGCTCGTGATTGGTGTGAAATTGGTATGTGCACAGAAAACACAACCTGGTTTGCCACAAAATGATTTAAATGTTCATTAAAGAAAGTTTTTTTGACTTTAAGTTCGTCTGAAAGATGGTTCTCAACTGGTTTTGCATCAGGACCCAAGTACATAAATGGCAATTTAGCACACAAATGTAAAAAATAAAATTTTATTAATATTACCATGATCTTTTTAGAAGCAACAATATGCAAAATTATTAGCATGATAGTTTTTTAATAATACGTGCTCTTGGTCTTGAAGCCCTAATTTAAAAATGGCAACCAAAATTGTTTAGCACACAAATGTAAAAATACAATTGTATTAATATTACCATTATCTTTTTAGAAGCAACAATATGCAAAATTATTAGCATGATAGTTTTTTAATAATATGTGCTCTTGGTCTTGAAGCCCTAATTTAAAAAAAAAAAAATAATAATAAAAAAATCCACATTCGTCATTGTTATTAATGTTTGTTTTAGCCATAATATAAATTCAAATCATTTTACTTTTTTCTACATTTTGATGTATTGCTTAAGTTTTTCTTGTTTTTATTTTTGCTTTTTTTAATTTTATATTTTCACATTTTGTTTTAATTGTAGTTACATTTTTAGTAAATGCTTTTGTCGTTTTTTTTAGGTTTTTTTTCTGTTTTTAGCCATTATATAAGAATATATAAGTCATCACACTCTTTTTCTAGACTTTGAGGTATTGCTTTTTTTCCATTTTAATTTTAGTTAAATTTTTTAGGGTGTTTTTGTTTGTTTTCATTAGGTTTTGGTTTTTTAATTTTTATTAGGTTTAATTTATTTTTATCCCAGTTTTTGTTTTTATTTCCAGTATTTGTAGTGCTTATTTCAGCTCATTTCAGTAGCAAGCTTTCAAGAATATTTAAATATTTGTACTGGAAAACAAAATACAAATACTAAATAAGAAAATTATTTTAGATCTAGTGTTGAAAACGAACATCATTATTGTGTGTGTGTGTTTTTGTGATTAGTTAAACATGTTGATAATTCATGTAATTCTCTATACCTGTGCTTACTTTGGCTTCAAACATCCACTAAAAATCACCAAAACACCAGCTGATTGAGCTATTGAGATTTTTTTTGACAGAACTGAAGAGGAAACTAGTTCGAACTTCATATTTTGTTTTATTTCAGCTATAGTTTTAGTTAACGATAACCGCACTACAACTATTCACGTTATAAAATCATTGACAGCCAGAATCCATCCTGCTTTAAAGAACATTTAAAGTGACAGACGACAAAACAGCAGCACGCCTAATTAACAAAACGTAACTGCAATTTGGCTTGGATGCTAACATAGTTATTGGTCTGAATAAATGTGAATAATTATTGTGAATAATTTGTCAGTGCACATTACAAAATGTGTCCATAATCTTTCTTTTTCAGCTTTATTATCAATTTATTTTAACATTCATATTGAAACACTTGCATTATGGAATTAAAATAGTTTGCAAATGCTGTTTCAT